AGATATTTCTTTAATTTTATATCTGAGGTTATGGTCTTTACAGTCTTCAAATGTTTTCACAGCCTTTGGTCTCTTCAGAGTACTATCTCTGAAGTCAGAAGACCTAGCTTACATCCTGCTTCTGATGATTCTTACCTACGTGACCTTGGGTAAATCACTTAAACTCCTTGGGCCTCAGAATCCTCAATTGTAAAATGAGAGGTTTGACCACATGGCCTCTGAGATCAAACCTTTGAACTCGAAATCAGACTTGATTCTACAATCACAGTCCCATATAGAACATATCGATCTTTTTTGTTATTAGCCCAGGATAGGCACACTCAGCTTCTCTTTCATTTTCTTTTCAAAGAACCCTTCTAAGAAATCATAGGATGCACATGGGTTTGTAGAGACAGCGTGAGTTGAGGTGATAAATACCCGCCCTGGGAATGGAGATGTTGTGAATTCTGTTTCCTCCCTGGCTCCTCACCCCTGTGTGATCCCACACTGATCATTCTCCCTCCCAGTGCTTCTGCCTTCATGTTTGCAAAGGGAAGAGGTTATCAGCAGCAAACATCATCCAAACATTAGGAGGGAATGATAGAGCCTCTGGAATGCGGCACCTATGACACCATTTCTCAGGCACAACAAACCACAGGAAAAATAGTGAAAGGAACCCATAGGTGAGAATACAAGAACATACCCAAAAGAAGTGGGGGGCAAAAGAGATCAAAAACTGTAACATGAAGTCCACTCAAGAGTTCAATCACCAAACCCTCATGAGCCTTTTGGTTTTCTCATCTGGAATTTGTGATACTAAGCAATACCTACGTAATCAAACCAAAACATGTTCCTATTGAGCATGTCAAGTCCTGAAATAAATCAAAGCCATGGGTTGAGGAATAAAGCATCTTTAATTGAGATAACAGGGTAGCAAACCCACCACCCTGGGAGATGTCTAGTGGATTTCCCAACCAAAGAGATCCATGAAAAAGTTTTTATAGTTTTAGTAGGAGAAGGGGAAGAGATAGGTAAGGTAGCCAGAGCTGGTCATGAGACCCCTATGGCCCTTGACAATCCAAGTAAGGAAAACCACGTCATTTTGTCTATTTTGTTTTTCATGCCATGAATCCCAATGGAAGGGGGAAAGGACCCTAGAAGCTGAGATCCAGCTTGAGCTGAGCTCCCCATAAGGTAACACCCCTGGGTAGGGGTGGACCTAGGGTGTAGTCCAGCTCAACCTAATCAAGAGTAAATATCTTTTTTTTAAATTTTTTTTTGTTTTCAACATTTACTTCCACAAGATTTTGAGTTCCAAATTTTCACCCCATCTCACCCCTCCCCCTACCCCAAGATGGCATGCATTCTAAATACCCCTTCCCCTAGTCTGCCTCCCCTTCTATCTCTCCCCCCCTTCTCTTATCCCCTTCCCCTTCTATTTTCCTGTAGGGCAGGATGGATTTCTGTACCCTATTTCCTGTATTTCTTATTTCCCAGTTGCATGTGAAAACATTTTTTTTAAACATGTGTTTTTAAAACTTTGGGTTCCAAATTTTCTCCCTTCCTCCTTCCCCACCCACCCTCATTGATAAGGCAAGCAACTAAATATAGGTTATGTATGTGCAGTTATGCAAAACACTTCCAAAGTAGACATGCTGTGAAAAACTAACTCTATTTCCCTTAATTCTACCCCACCCACCCATTTATTCTATTCTTTATTTTGACCCTGTCCTTCCTCAGAAGTATTTGCTTCTGATTACTCCCTTTCCCAATCTGCCCTCCTCTCTATCATCCCCCTACTCTTTTGTCCCCTTTCCCCCTATTTTCCTGTAGGGTAAGACAGATTTCCACACCCAATTGAGTATGTATGTTATTCCCTCCTTAAGTCAAATCCTATGAGAATAAGATTCACTCATTCCCTCTCACCTTCCCCCATTTCCCCTCCACTGTAAGAGCCTTTTCTTTTCTGGTTTTTTTTTTTTGTGGGATAATTTACCCCATTCTACCTGTCCCTTTCTCCTTCTCCTGGTATATTCTTCTCTCACCCCTTAATTTTATTCTCCAGATATGACCCCTTCATTTTCAACTTGCCCTGTGCCCTCTATCTAGCTATCTATCTGTCTATCTATATACATATAATTTTTTCCCCTCCAACTACCCTAATACTGACAAAGGTTTCATGAGTTACAAATATCATCTTTCCATGCAGGAATGTAAACAGTTCAACCTTAATAAGTTTCTTATGATTTTCTCTTTCCTGTTTACCTCTTCATGTTCCACTCGAGTCTTGTATTGGAGAATCAAATTTTCTATTCAACTCTGGTCTTTTCATCACAAATGCTTGAAAGTCCTCTATTTCACTGAATAACCATTTTTTCCCCTGCAGGATTATACTCATCTTTGCTAGGTAGATGATTCTTGGTTGTAATCCTATCTCCTTTGTTCTCCGGAATATTATATTTCATGCCCTGCAGTCCCTTAATGTAGAAGCAGCTAAATCTTGTGTTATTCTAATTGTGTTTCCACAATACTTGAATTGTTTCTTTCTGGCTACTTGTAATATTTTCTCCTTGACCTGGGAACTCTGGAATTTGGCTACAATATTCCTAGGAGTTTTCCTTTGGGGATCTCTTTCAGGTGGTGATCAGTGGATTCTTTCAATTTCTATTTTGTCTTCTGGTTCTAAAATATCAGGACAGATTTCCTTGATCATTTCTTGAAAGATGATGTCTAGGCTCTTTTTTTGATCATGGTTTTCAGATAGTCCAATCTTTTTTAAATTCTCTCTCCTGGATCTATTTTCCAGGTCAGTTGTTTTTCCAATGAGATATTTCACATTGTTTTCTAATTTTTCATTCTTTTGGATTTGTTTTACAGTGTCTTGATTTCTCATAAAGTCACCAGCTTCCAATTGCTCTATTCTAATTTTTAAAGAAGTATTTTCTTCAATAATCCTTTGGACTTCCTTTTCCATTTGGCCAATTTTGCTTTTTAGGGCATTCTTCTCCTCATTGGCTTTTTGGACCTCTTTAGCCATTTGGGTTAGGCTATTTTTCAAGGTATTATTTTCTTCAATATTTTTTTGGGTCTCCTTTAGCAAGCTGTTGACGTGTTTTTCATGATTTTCTTGCAGAACTCTCAGTTTTTCCTCTACTTCTCTTACTTGCTTCTCAAAATCCCTTTTGAGCTCTTCCAAGGCCTGGGACCAATTCATATTTTTCTTGGAGGCTTTGGATGTAGGAGCTTTGACTTTGTTGTCTTCTTCTGGTTGTATGTTTTGATCTTCTTTGTCACCAAAGTAAGATAATATAGTCTGACTCTTTTTGTGCTGCTTACTCATGATCCTAGCCAATTACTTGAGTTTTAAACTCTTTGTTAAGGTAAAAGTCTGCTTCCAATGTGAAGAGTGTACTGTCCCAAGCTTTGGGGGTTTGTACAGCTGTTTTCAGAGATACTTCTAGGGACCTATAAATTTTCAGTTCTTCCAAGGTGCTATGATAAGGGGCGAGGTGTTTTCTCTCCACCACCACAACAAGCTTCACCACACCAGCGTTCCTCCGCACCCCAGGACTGCCCCTCAGAACTGTGATCCAGATCCAAGCACTGGTAAAGCAAGAGATTCCCGCCTCAGAACTGGCAAAGAGATCCCTGCAATCCCACTCTGATCAACCACTTGATTCCCTCTCAGTCTGTGGGCTGGAAGCTCAGGAAAAAGCCGCGGCCCCAGGCTGTGCTCAAGACTTGGGTCTGAGACCTAGCTCCTCTCTCAACGCAGTCACAGACTTTTCCCACTGACCTTCTAAGTTGTCTTTGGCGTTCCTGGGTTGAGAATTCTGGGAACCTCCACAGCTGCCTGTGATTCAGTCCTCTGAGGCCTGCTCCTGGGTCGCTGCAGCCTGCACGCCCATGCCAAACTGTGCTCCTCTCCCCGCCCAACCTGACATACCTTTCTAATCAACCACCCAGGTTATCTTGGGCTGGAAATTTGTTTCACTCTCTCTTTTTTGTGGATTTTGCTGCTTTAGAATTTGTTTAGAGCCATTTTTTTAGGTATTTGGAGGGCTTTGGGAGAGAGCTCAAGAGAGTCACTGCTTTCCCTCTGCCATCTTAGCTCCACCCAAGAGTAAATATCTCAAGAGTAGGAATGTAAGGACATCACTGAAATTCTGACATTACAAAGATCATTTAAGGGAGTGGCAGTCCATATTACATTCTGTCATTTAATTCTGTCAAATAATTTCTGTCATATTAACAATTATATTAATTTTCTATCAAATACAAAAGATATTTAAGGCTTGTATGAAGGGGGCCCCCCAAAATAGTTTCTGACAGTACTCCAGTTGGGGGGGGGGCTGGGAATAGCAGAGAAAGATTAGTAACTATGAAAATGAAATGTTTTATAGAAACCAAAGATAGCGTTGGGGTGGAAAATGTATCTGACTCACAGTGATTAACTACCAAATAGTGGATAACATAGAGAACTAAACTGAAAATGTAGGCCTAAACAGTGCCTGGTATATCATAAGCATGCAATAAGGCCTCTATCTATCTATCTATCTATCTACCTACCTACCTATCTATCTCAACTGCAAACATACGTTGTCCTATCACTGAATTCAAATTGATTATTCATTGTGCTCCTCATGGCTCAAAGGTATTGGTAGTAGAGAGAGACATTATGTAACAAAGTTAAGGAAAGCCTAAACTTGTTGAAACCTACAAGGGGCAAGTAGGTGGTCAGAGGATAGAGCATCAGGCCTACAGACAGGAAGATCCATCTTCCTGAGACTCAGACACTTACTAGAGTGTGACCCTGGGCAAGTCACTTAACCTCTGCTTGCCTCAGTTTCCTCTTCTGTAAAATGAGCTAGAGGAGGAAATGGCAACCCACTCTAGTAGGTTTTTGGACCTCTTTTGCCATTTGGGTTAGGCTATTTTTTAAGGTGTTATTTTCTTCAGTATTTTTTGGGTCTCCTTTAGCAAGCTGTTGACTTGTTTTCCATGATTTTCTTGCATCACTCTCAGTTTTTCTTCTACTTCTCTTACTTGCTTCTGATCAAATAGTCCAACACAACTGAAATGAGTGAGCAACAAAAATACACTTATTCACTTCGTGTTTAGATCCAGTATGAGAGTGAAAACATAACATTTGTCATATGCAAAAAAGGCCATGTGACACAGTAGAAAGAGTCCTGGCCCTGAACTCAAGTGACATCCAGGTTTGAATCCCTCCTCTGAAGCTCGTTTATTGCACAATAATGAGCAAGTCACTTAGCTTCTCTTAGACTGAGTTTCTTCATCTTTAAAATGAAAATAAAAATAAAATCTACCAGACTTACCTCATGGATTCGCACGTGCATCAAAATCATTCAATATTCTTTGGAACATACACCAACAGGAATAACCCTGTTTAATGGCCCTCTGATCACAATTATCAGATGCAACATGAAACAGGGAGAGACATGCTTAGCAAAGTGATTCATCATGGTGAGAGAGGAGATCCAGAACCAAATACTAGTCAAAGAGGGATTCCCTATAAATGGAGAGGTTCTCTAAATGCTCCTATTTGTGGATGACATTATTTTGATTTCATCAAGACTCAGGAAACTGTTGTGCATCGTGGAAGAGATTTATAAGCACTCAAAGGAGCTTGGCCTGACCACTCACACAGGAAAGATCAAGTGAATACTGAATTTTCATCATCCCGATTCTAACATGTATTTGGATGGATGCTCTCCAGAACTTCTCCATCTGTATGAGTATCTGGGATAGATGATAGACAGTGAAATGGGCCTACAGTTGAACAGGAAGAGAAGACTGGGTTGGATTGCCTTCAAGAAAATGCAGCACTCTTTTATTTAGCCCAAGTTTCTCGGGAAAGTAAAAACCCATCTTTTTACCATTAACATTCTACCGGTGTTGTATTGGAAGCAAGATGTGAATACAGCTGCCTCTGAAAAAGAAAAGAAAAATAGGTATCACAGAGAGGTCAATAGGGAGGGAGACAATTGATGGGTGTGGGTGGACTGAAACATAGAACCAAAGAAGAACAGAAGTAAAAAGAAAAATGTCTTCAAGAATCTGTCTGACAGGAAGAGAAGATGGGATGGTTTGGAGGAAAGAATGAGGATGGAGAGGTGGAAAGTCAAAGTGTTCAACTGGTACCCTTGTAATGGTAGGAGATAGCCAAGAAGGTCTTCAACAGGAGAGACAAAAATGGGAGAGAAAGTCATTCAATAATAGATGTTCAGAATGGTTTAAAAAAAACAGAAGCAGGAAGTTACAAGATTTTAAGAGCAATGACAGGGAAAAGTAATTTACCCTGGAGCAGACCAACATAGGTTGGCAGCAGGTAGGTGCCAAAATTAAAATAGACTAAACTTCTTCAGGCCACAGATAGTTTTTAGTGGCTCACTTTCCAAGTAAAGGTGTAATTAATCATCAAACTATTTTGCAATAAGGTGTATTTTTTTAAAAGGGAAATTTCAATTAATATCAATTAATTACACTTACTAAGATTTTTATTTATCATGAAATCATATTAATGTTAAAAAATTACTTTGCTAAGTGGTACAAGTTTTAATACATTTTTCAGGTTTTTTTACTGTTTACATTTAGTTAATGGGATGTATTACATCTCTCGTCAGCAATCAGTTTATCATACTCCAGAATCATGATTGAAATCAACTTCTTTAGAAATCTGAAAACTAACCTTAGTAGCTGCCTCATTTTTTGAGTTTACTTTCTTGAAAAACCGTTGTTCCCCACCAAGATTTTTCAACAATTTGGATGCTTTTATTTGTTTTTCATTGGTGTCCAGTTTCCTTAAGTCAGGGTGTTCTGATTTAAAATGGCGACGAAGATTGTATTCCTTTGGAATGGCTATTACTTGTCAGCAAACAAGGCACAATATTTCTTCTCTCGTGTAAGTAAACATGTATCTATTTGTCCACTCTGGATTAAATACTTTATGTTCTGATTAGATCTTCTGTTTCTTTTTATCACTCATTTTACAAAGTTACTCCAAAAACTTTAATGTTAGAACCAAAAAATCTCCATAGCAACTACTCACATACAAAGAAATACTGAACTGACTGTCTCACCTTGGAGAGAGCACCAGACACTCATGTAACTTGGAGGGTGGCTGTGCAGAGAGGGAGGGGAAGAAGCCCTGGTGTTATTGCTGCTCGTAGCGTAGCGGGCATCGACTGTGTTGGCATGGGGTTGCTCTCACTTTGTCCCTGTTCAATGTCAGTAACGACCAAAAACATAGAGAAAAGATACAGCTCTCATTTCCCTCATACTAGAGACAGACTGACAGTGGTTGATTGTTGTGGGTCACATGACAAACAGGAGAGAGAGCACAGTGGTAATCCACCCAATATGATGGGCACAATAGTGACTAGTCGAAGTAAAGTTAAGTGGGCCACAGACAAAGTACTCATTACATCTTTACTTTCTTTTACCTCCTCTACATTTTTGTGGGCCACCTGAAATCCTTTGGCCGGCTGCAAGCAATCCATGGGCTGTATGTTGTGTAGGCCTGCCCTGGAGCAAAGGGTATCAGGACAAGAGTAGTGGTGATGCTGGAAAGATAGGTTTCAGTTAGATTATTTAGAATAATAGCTTACATTAAAGCTTTATAAGTTTTACCAAGTGTTTTCCTTATAACCAAGCTGTGAAATAGGTAATGAAAAGATTTTTTTTCAATCTTAAATGTGAAAACTGAGGCTTAGAGAGTTTAATTGACTAGCCCAATGCCACACAATTTAGAGTGAGGAATTGAACCACCACCATTGTTTCTACTCAGCCACATTGCTTTGGATATCAAGCGAAGAAGTTTGGCCTGTTGTCCTCTTCCTGGAGATACTAAGAACTAATCTAGATACTTGCAATCTTGGGACACATATAACTTTTATACACATTAGGGGATTAATAAATATTTGTGAGAATGAATTGAATCATTCAACTTCATTGGTGTTATAGCCCAGGAACCTCTTCATACTAGAAGCTCACTGCAGACCTGAAATACAAATATTAACTCATGGTATCTCCCTCTGATTTAAGGCTCCCCCAAGAAACTCCATTTATGAAAGGCTTCCAGGACAGCCAAGTCTCAGTGCTCTCCAGACTGAATTTCAGAGTTTCTCTACCACCAATTCCCCTGCCCCACTCCAGCCTTCGCCCTCTCCCCTTCTTTCATTTCTTCCCCTCTGCTCTTTCCAGCCTTCTTTTGTTTGCTCTCTATCCCCATTAGAATAGAAGCTCCTTAGGGGCAGGGACTTTCTTTCTGCTTGTATTTGTCTTAATAAATTCTGACTGACTGTTAAATTGAATATAATAAAGAGTTTCTAAATGTAGTACCTAGTTTTTCTCTAAGAGTAATATTTTTCAAAGATATAAGAAACAGTGAATATTATGAGCAGCAAGTGAATTCTACACAGTATGTGAATATGTGGTTGAACTATAATCTCCAATCAGTATGAAGTTATCCTCGTTACACAGTCGTGCTTCTGATGACATAATCTCTACTTCTGGGTCTGGTTTCTGTTCCTCACTAAGCTTTATTGGCCCACATTAGTTTTCTTGTTAAGCCTAGTGAAATAAAAATGATCAAATCTCCAACAGGTTGGGCTTGCTGCCCAAAGTCACACATTTAAAAGCAAGAGATGACAGGCACTGTGTGTTAGGGAAAGCATTGGGGCTGGCCAGGAGACCTGAGTTCTCCTCTTTAGTATTTGTGGGATCTTGGACCCATCAGGCAGCCTTTCTGAGCTTTCATTTTCTGATTGTAAAGTGTGGAAAGTTCTTAACCTGGGTTCTATGAACTTTTTTAAATGATTATTTTGATAAATATATTTCAATATGATCGGTTCCCTTTTTAATCCTATTCATTTGCTGCCTAAGAGGTCCATGGCACAAAAAAGGTTAAAAAAGAAAGTCTTTTTCAATTCTTTAATCCTGTGATCTCCAGCCACAGATTAGGATATAGTCTGGGATTAATGGAATAATCACTACTAGATACATTTGAAAACTACTGGGGTTGCAAGCAGCTCGTGTTTTTCACTGTGCCTAGCTCTCCTTTGTTAGGCTCCCCTACACCAGGGGACTTACATATACCTCTTTGATAAAATCATCTCAATCATATTTATTTATGTAACTTTAATTTACACTAGAGTGGTGTCTGTGATATAATGGAAGGGAATGGGGGGAAGGACTATGTATTTGTATAGTGCCTATTATTTTGCAACTGAATCCTTTCAGTTATGTCTGACTCTTCGTGACTCCATCTGGGGTTTTCTGGCAAAGGTACTGGAGTGGTTTGCCATTTCCTTCTCCAGCTCATTTTACAAATGAGGAAGCTGAGGCAAACAGGGTTAAGCGACTTGCCCAAGGTCACTTAGCTTATAGTGTCTGAGGCCAGATTTGAATTTAGGAAGATGAGTCTTCTTGATCTAGGCCAGGCTCTCTATCTACTGCCCCACCTAGCTGCCTGCCTACTATGTACCAGGCAAGATATTATCTCGTTTGATCTTCATGACAATCCTATGAGGTAGGTACTGCTATTATTCCCTTTTAACAGTTAAGGAAACTAAGGTAGAAAGGGGTTAAGTGACATTCACAGGGTCACAGAGTATATGAGGTTGGATTTGATCTCAGGTCTTCCTAACTCTAGGAACAAGCACTCTAGCTGCTACCACCTAGTTGCCTTGATGTATACTGCTGATCATACCCAAGGTGAGGATATGCTATCCTATACCATGTAAAAGAAATTTTGATACGGGCATGGGGGGGGAAGGTGGTTCTTAAAGGGGAGTTTAGAAACCAAGTTTAAAACTGAGTTTGAATTCCAATACTGCCTAGTTGTGTGACTATGGACAAATTACTGAACCTCTCTGAGTCTCAGTTTTCTCATCTGCTAATGGGGCTTGTAATACTTACAGGATTGTTATAAAATATGAGCTTCATAAACCATAAAGGACTATAAAAATGTGAGCCATTTGAAGACTTGCTACTATTTGATGCATGAAGGAAAGACAACACTTTGTTTTTCTATGACCATTTTAATTCTGTGCTTCTATTTTCTCCACTCACTGTCCTGTTAATTTCTCAAATCCTCCCCCTCTTTGTTCTTTCCCCTTCTTCAACACAACAAACATTTACTCAACATTTGCTAAGAGCTACATACTATATAAGGCCTTGAGGACCTATAGAAAGAGAAAAAAGAAACCCAAATAGCCCTTGCCCTCAAGGAGCTTACTTTCTCCTGGGGGGTAGGGGGGGTGTATAATATTTACACAGATAAGTAAATATAAGTAGCACAAAGTTATTTTAAGAAGTTAAGGGCACTGGGGCAGCTAGGTGGCACAACAGATAGAGCACCGGCCCTAGAATCAGGAGGACCTGAGTTCAAGTCCAGCCTCAGACCAGACACTTGACACTTACTAGCTGTGTGACCTTGGGCAAGTCACTTAACCCCAATTGCCTCACAACAAACAAAAGCAAAAAAGGAGTAAAGGGCACTAACTCAGGGAGGGGATCAGAAAAAGTCTTGTGTAGGAAATATCCCTTGAGTGGCATTTTGAAGGACACTAGAGATTCTACGAAGTGAATATGTGGAGGGAGGGAAAGCTTTCCAGGCATGCGGGTGGGGATAGTCTGTTCAAAACCACAGAGGAAGGAGATGCAATATCCTGCACTAGGACTAGCTAATGGGACAGTTTGATTGGAATAGCTGGAACTGTATTTTTGTATATACTGATCTGCCTATGTGCTGCTTTCTCCAGCATGCACACAGTGGTGTTTAATAAATGCTTGTTGAAATGACTTACATTAAAAATTCTGTAGGAGTCAACCTGGAAGTGGGAGAGTCTGTAAATGCCCTTGTCCTTCCCTATTTTCCACCCATTTCTTTTTTCTCTTCACCCTTACCCCAACCTAAACCTAAGGCAGTAGAAGAACAGAGAGACCTTGGTCAAACTAAGAAGGAGAACCATTCCAGGTGCCTACCTATGCCCCTCTCCTCCCACTCCCCTCACCTCACATGAAACCCAGTTTCTAAGCAGAACAAATATTTGCCTTTTCCTCATCTTATTTGGATTTCTCCCTTTTGTCCTACGGCTCATTTCGAGTGGTCCATGCAATGCCTCTCAGATCTCAGCGTGTGCAGTTACCACAAATAATAGTATTATCAAAAGGTTTAGCATTTTTCCCTTCCTAATTGCTGGGTTGAGTAATAGTCCAGCCCCTAGAAATGTTCCTTTCACCTCTTCCCCAGCCCACATCCTCCCTAAGTCCTTTCACCACCAACTCTTGAAACTTTCCAACTTCCACCCAAGTGGGTTTGCAAATGAATAGGTAAGGAGCCTTCCCCATTTGGCTATTGTTTAGGGAAATGGAGACCATCCTGCAAGGAATGTCCATCCTCCCTCCTCACCCAACACCCTGCTTCCTGTCAATCATCCTGGAACACAGAGTGCTGGCCCCTTTGACAGGATGTTTGTTTGCAAAGACAGCCTTGCCAAGTCTCAAGGCTCTGACTTACAGTGACATTCCAAATGCCAAAATGAGAGGGGAAAAGAAAAAAAAAAACACATTTGAACAATCCTTTTAATGCCTTAATAAGGTCTGTTTATATTCAAAAATAGCTACAGGTTATCTCAGCCTCCAAGGACTGCTGAGACTCTGGGTTCCTTAAGACCCTGAGCTCTTAGGCAGTTGAAGTTCATGTTCCAAAGGGAGTGAACTCCAAGATCATGTCCTTAGAACACCTTCACTGCTCCTGTAAAAAGAACCCCCCCTCCCTGATTTAGGAAAGCACCCTCGCGTACTGCAAAGGCAAGCTGTTGTATATTCAGAAGATGTAGGGCTAGTGTAGCCAATTCTATTTAGCTCAAACTTGAAAGAATTTGGGATGAGTTACATAAAGTGGATCAGAAAAAACACTGGGGCTATGAGATCAGAGTCTGACCCCAGAGACCATCTACCTGATTCAAGCCCCCTCATTTTACCCAAGAGAATAAGGCCATGTAGGTTAAAGAGCTTCTTCAAGGTTATCCAGGTAGCAAGCATAGTGGCAGAATTTCAATCATTTGACTCCAAACTCTGTCTACCATACACTGTGAAAGGCTGTTAAGTTCTGCAGCTAATTACCTGTGTGACCCCGAACAAGCCATTTCAGTTCTCTGGATCTCAGGTTCTTCATCTGTACAATGAGAAGTTGAATTCTGGATAGCTTAAAGATCACTTCCAGCTCTCTATCCTATGATCTGAAGCCAGAGAACAATTCTAAACCAGGTGATCTCAGGTCACTCTGCGGGCCTAGCAGACATCTGCACCAGACTTTGTTCCAGGAGCAAAGCATTTCTGTTCAAAGGGATGTTCAATTCAAAACCAAATTATATTCCATTCAAAGGCTGCAAATTCAAAGACTGATGAAGCACAGACTCTGTTCTCAAGGGGCTTACATTCTAATAGAGAGAAAGAGAGGTACACAAATAACTCTGGTACAAGAAAAAATGACATATGTATGGACAGTTTGGAAGGGTGAGATTTGGTTCCTCTAAATTTACACACTCCCCAATCACCAAAAGCTGGGGTAGATGGCAAATAAAAGAGATACTGAGATATGAATAGGTTCATCAATTACAAAGAGTATTTACACCATATTGTCTCTTTACCAAGTGTGGGGGGAAAAGTTTCTCTTTGATGGAATTAGAAGAGTGACAGAGTGGAAGAGTGTACCCCAGGTTTGTGAGGGGAATATTTTGTACATGTTCTTCTTACAACAGCTTAGTAAATGCTTTTGCTTTGAGCTAATTGTGTCTACTGGCTCACTATTCATAGGAAGTCCAACAGTGGGGATCCTAAAATATATAGCTTTAAGAGTAAAGACCCACAGAGTACCCTAGGAACTATGAAAATAATCACCCTAATTTATCTGCAGCCTTTTAACATCTATTTGGGAAGGTACCCCAGAGGGGGTGCTGCAAGTACAAATGAGAGATCCGGGAAAAAGTATTTTGATAAATCTGAATAGGAAGAAATGTATTCATTCACTCATTCAACATATGTTGGGTTTTTTTGTTTGTTTTTTGTTTGTTTGTTTATTTTTAGCACATACTATCTGTGCCAAGAAATGGTCTCACTTCTAGGAATTCAAAGTTAAAAATATGACTCTCTGCCTTCAAGAAGTTTACATTCTATCTGGAGAAAACAATATAATTAAAATTAAGTAAATATCAAAAGTTTACAAAGTAATTTGGTGGGGAGGGCATTAGCTGAGTAGGTACAGAGGAGGATTAGGTTTGCCTTCTTATAGTGGGAGATTTAGGTTGATCTGAGCTTGGGAGGAAGCTAAAGATTATCAGAGGCAGAGATAAGACCATTTATTATTGGCATGGAGCAGCCAAAGGAACAAAAGATGGAATCTCTCTTGAAGGGGGAATTGTAAACAGACCAGATTAGCTGGAATATAGTATGTACAAAGAATAGCAATTTCCAATAAACCTAAGAAGGTAAACTAGAAAAGACATTGAAGGTCCTTAAATGCCAAAGAAAGAAATTTGCTTTTTTCATCCTAAATTTCATTCAGAGCTTGGCACTGGGGCTTCTTGATGAGTAATAGGAGCTAGTCACATTTGAGTTTTAAGAATATTGATTTGTCAAATTGACTAATATGACAAAAAAGGAAAATGATAAATGTTGGAGGGGAATGTGGGAAAACTGGGACATAATGCATTGTTGATGGAGTTGTGAACTGATCCGACCACTCTGGAGAGCAATTTGGAACTGTGCCCATGGTTACAGCCTATTGCTATAAAACTCTGCACACCCTTTGATCTAGCAATAGCACTGCTAGGTCTATATCCCCAAGAGGTTTAAAAAAAAAAAGAAGGGAAAAAGGAAAAGGACCTACTTGTTCAAAAATATTTATAGCAGCTCTTTTTGTGGTGGCTAAGAATTGGAAATTGAGGGGATGCCCTTCAGTTGGAGAATGACTGAACAAATTGTGGTATATAATTGTGATGGAATATTATTGTGCCATAAGAAATGATGAGCAGGGTGATATCAAAAAATCCTGGAAAGACTTGCATAAACTGATGCAAAATAGTGAGCAGAACCTGGAGAATGTTGTACACAGTAAGAGGAATATTGTATGATGAAGAACTTGACTGACTTAGCTGTTCTCAGAAATACAATGATCAAAGATGATCCCAAAGGACTCATGATGAAAAATGCTATCTGCCTCCAGAGAAAGAACAGACATCTGAATACAGACTGAAGCATACTATTTTTCTTTTTCTTTCTTTCTTTTGTCCTTCCTTCCTTTCTTTCTTTCTTTTTTTCTTCCTTCCTTCCTTCCTGTTTTTTTTTCTTGTCTTTTTGTACAAAATGACTAATATGGAAATGTTCTACATTATTGTAGATGTATAACATATATCAGATTGCTTACCATCTCAGGTAGGGGAGAAGGAGGAATAGAATTTGGAACTCAAAACTTAAAAAAAAGGTTAAAATTGTTATAACATGTAATTGGGGGGAGATAAAACATTATTTTTTAAAAAAGAATATTGATTTGGCAGCTGTTTGGAATGTTGATTGGAAAGAGGAGAGCCCAAAGAGAGAAACATCAATTAGAAGAATATTGCAATAGTCCAGGTAAGAAGTGATTAGGCTACGAACTAGGATATTAAATGTATAACTGGAAAGAAGGGGACATGAAAAATGCTGTAAAAGTAGAATTGACAAAACTTGGAGACTTCGAGGGATAGAAGGGAGGAGCTATGGAGAGGGAAGAATTGAGAATGACTCTGGAGTTGTAAGCTTGAGTTACTGGAAGGATAATGGTGCCCTCAAAAGGTACAGGGAAGTTAGGAAGAAGGGATGGTACTGGAAGAAAGATAATGTCCTTTGGACTAGATTCCCAGAAGGAAGGAATGACATCGAATATTCTCTCAATAAGGTACTATGAAAGAACCAGGCCAATAGATGTTGCTTCTGATGGACTAAAAGCTTACTCTCTTCCTCAATATTTCTTTTTTTTTCCACTTCGTAGTACTCAGTATCTTTCAATTGGGTTCAAAGACCTTGGGTGTGATAGGGCTTCATATCATACGTCTAGAACTGAAGGGGAACCCAAAAGTCATGAAGCCTAAGCCCCTCATTTTAAAGATAACGAAATTGAGTCTTGAAAGAGGTTAAGTAACTTGTCCAAAGTCGCACAAAGTATTAAGTAGAAGAAGCAAGATTTGAACTTAAGTGCCTTGATTCAAAAACTCTTTCTACTTTACCGTGATGCCTCTCCCAGGATCCTTTTTCTCCTGCTGCCCAACATATCTCATTCTGACTCCTGTTAGAGCCAGATGCAGGAATTACTCCTATAAAATAGTATGGGAATTACAAAAAAACATAGTAACAACAATAGTTGTTGTTGTTCAGTTGTTTCAGTCATGTATAACTTTCTAGGCCCGAAGTCAGGAAGACTCATCTTCCTGACTTTAAATCTGGCCTCAGACACTTATTAGTTGTGTGGCCCTGGAAAAGTCACTTAACCCTGTTTGTCTCAGTTTCCTCATCTGTCAAATGAGCTGGAGAAAGAAATGGCAAACTACTCTGGTATCTTTGCCAAGAAAACCCCAAATGGGGTCATGAAGAGTGGGACGTGAGTGAAATGACTGAACAATAACAAATGGTCTAAGACCCCTCAGAAGAAATCTCATCATTTGGTTCACAAAAACTCCTTAGAGATATGGAATAGGGAAAAGAAAACCTTTTGAACATCTAGTCCCTTGAAAACCCAGCATTGACCTCCAGGTTACTTAAAAAAACAACAGCAGCAAGAGTCCCAAGCATTTGAAATTAAAGGTTGCGAAACAGCCTCATACAATGGAAATAGGGCAGGGTTTGGAGTCAAAGGTCTTGCGTTCAAATCATAGTTCTGCCATTGTGAAGGAAAGCGACAATTTCTCTGGCCCTTCGTTTCCTCATCTGTGAAATGAAGGGGTTGGATTGGACAATCTCTAAGGCCTCTCTCAGTGGCTCCCTCTCACCTTCAAGATCAAATCTAAAATCCTCTGTTTGGGGTTCATAGCCCTTCATAACTGTCCCTCTCTGACCCTTCCAGCCCTCTTTCACTTATTCACCCCCATATTTCCTGCGATCCAGTGACACTGATCTTATCTTTTATTCCTCACATAAGACATCCCATCTCCCAGTTCCAGGCATTTTCACTGGCTGTCCCCTGCCTGAAATTATCTCCCTTCTCATCTGGGCCACCTGGCCTCCTTGGCTTTCTTCAAGTCCCAAGTAAAATTCTAACTTCTTCAAAAAACCTTTCCCAATTCTCTCTCCTCTCTAGTGTCTTCCCTCTCTGCTAATTATCTCCAATTTGTCCTGTGTGTATCTTGTATGTGCATAGTCATTTGAATGTTTTCTCTTTCATCAGACTGTGAGCTCCTTGAGTACAGGGACTGTGTCTGTACCTTTCTTTACATTCCCAGAGCTTAGCACAGTGCCTGGTACATAGTAGGTGCTTAATAAATGCTTATTGACTTCCAGCTCTAAATTTATAATCCTAAATCATTTAATCTGTCTGGGCCTCAGTTTCCCTATCTTAGACTATAGCTCAATCAGTAATCAATCAAGTATTTATTGAGTGCTTATTGCATTCCAAGGCACTGTGCTAAGTATTGGGTATACAAATACAAAGAATGAAATAATCTCTACCTGCAAGGAGTTCAAGATGGAAAACAACTCATAAAGAAATATATATATACATCCATATATACATATATATCATAAACAAAATTAATTTTTAAAAAGATTACTTCTAAGGTCCCTTCCAGCTCTAAATCTCTAATCTTATTACTTGGTTTGCAATTCCAATTCTGCTATGTAGTATCTGTGTGACCTTGAATGAGTCACTGCCTTTCCTTGGACCTCAGTCCTCTCTATAAATTGAGGGGGTTAGAGCAGGTAATCTTTAAGGTCCCTTCCACCCTGAAGACCCAATGCCACCCCAACCGGTATTTTCACAGCAAAAAATTCACACCTTCTTCGTGATTGTCTAGAGACACTTTGTGACTAGGAGTCACTGGGATTTTGCTGTGTGGACCCCAAAGGACTTTTTCAGGGGTGTCCATATTGCTTTCCCTCATCAAGCCACAGTGTATCCTAAAAGCCATATGGGAAACGTACTTCTTCACAGCTGCAGAGGAAACATTTGCAGAATAGAAATCATAATATATATTCTTAGTCATCGTAGAAAAGGAAAGTGCATGAAAAATTTAAGCCGTGGAGTTGAAATCTCATTTTAAGATGTTTTAATTGCCAGAACGGAGCTGTTCAATTACATTTCAGGGCCCAGAAGATTAACAGCAGCGTCTGGGACAGCAACAGAAAGGATAAAAAAAAAAAAAAAAGAAAGAAACCACTTGAACTGAAAGCCGCCTCTAACAAATAGGGAAAAAGCAATGAGGGCCTTTGCTTTAGCTTTGTTTCTTACATAAGTTTGGTGCTGTAAAATATTGCACGTTTTGTACTGTATGTTCTCTCTGAAAAGCCAAACAGAAACTAGTCATCTTGGTTTTTGAGAGCACAAGGCCTCCCCTTTCTCATGTTTCAACTAAACAGTCTCCACTTGGGCTGAGGACCATATCATATATCATAAATCACCCCCTGATAGATATTTGGCAGCTAGTCAGCACCCCAGGCAATGCAAAGTACAGTATGGAAAATTTTTTAAGGTGGAATCTCGATTTTGTAACTTAAAGACTTTAATAGCATCTCAAAACATTTTACTACTTCCTGGTACACACAGAAAAGGAAAAAAAAATCAAGAAAGAATTCTCCATATGGTTTTCGGTTCTAGAGGATATATACACAATAAGCTATGCAACTGTAAACCTGGAGGGGGTTTGAGCTGTTGTTAATTCAGGCTCCATGGAAGAGAGAAAGAGAGACAGAGACAGAGAGCCAGGGAAATAGAGACAGAGAGACAGGGAGATAGAGACAGAGACACAGAGACAGAGACAGAGAGACAGAGAGACAGAGAGATGAGAGAGAAAGGAAGGTAGAAAGAGAGAGAGGGAAGAAAGTGAAGGAAAGGAAAGAAGGAGGGAAGGAGAATAGAAGGAAGGAATAGAGAATGAGAGAGGGAAAGAAAGAAAGAGAAAAGAGGGAGAGAGAGAAGGCAGAGAAGAATGAAGGAAGGAAGGAAGGAAGAAGGAAAGAAAGTAAGAAGGAAGGAAGGAAAGAAGGAAGGAAGAAAAAAGAAAGAAAAAAAGAAAGAAAAGAGGGAGGGAGGGAGGGAGGAATGAAGAAAGGAAGGAAGAAAGAAAGAAAGAAAGCCCTGGTGAACCCCTGATATGGGAAACCAGGAGTTTGGAAAATCAGGTTTTCAGTGTTTCCCCAGAGTTAAGCCCTGGAATTAACCCCTTTCTCTCCCTCTAAGAGAGAGGAATCCCATATGGCCAGAGATTCCTCCTAGGTTGGGCAGCATGGCAGGATCATCTGGCCCAAGGTTCTTTCAGGGACTGTGGCCAGAAGGATTGTGGGAAGGCAACAAAAGGTATCAGTAAATAAGTACCCAAATAGAGCTTCCTGCGGCTCCTGAAGTCATAATTCCAGTTCTCCGGGGCTTTTGAGTAAACTTACCTTCCCACCTTTTCAAAAGCTGCCAACATTTCATGCTCACACATTCTTCAGGAAACTCTTCCAACAGGGGCCTGCATTTTTGAAAAGGCAATCCCCGATTAACCCCTCCGTGGCACCTTGCCTGGAACACAGAGAGGGGATAGAGGCTGCAGCCCAACCCAGGGCCCATTTTTTTTTTTCTGCAAAGCAACTAGTTAGTTGCAAGGGAGCCTGGATCAGAGCTCCTAAACCTGCAGCCTCCTGGGACATTTAGGGGTTAAGTCCAGGAGTTATAGGGGGGAACTTGCCCGAATGTTCTCTGCTGGTCTCAGCCTGGGTAATTCTTAGAAGGGCTAAATAGAAACTGGGGGAAATGCGGAGTATGTGGTATACCATTGTGCTCTCAGCAGGAAAAACAATGCACAGGGAAAACAAAAGAAAAAACTGAATAAATCCTGTTTGAAGTTTAAAATAAATGCTGCCCCCCCTTTTTTTGGTTGGTCACAAATTAGCCGGGGCCTGAACAGGCTAAATATAAAATTTTCAACGTCATTTATTAGAATGTCTCTCTAATCTCAGTCACCTTGGAGTATGAAATGAAAGTTACATTAAAGTAGGGATACCTTGCCTGGTGTGTGTGTGTGTGTGTGTGTGTGTGTGTGTGTGTGTGTGTGTGTGTGTGTGTGTGTGTGTTTGGTTTTCTTAGTTCAAAAGATTTTTCCCCATGAGTGATTTTTGTTAATCCTCTTCTTTTATTTTCTTGAGATTCATCCAGCCCTGTTCATTGCATGTCTGCTGTGTATGAGCTTGATAAGAGCTCCCATTTCTATAGCACTTTATAGTTGACAAAGCACAGCAACCCTGTGAGGTAAGCAGTACAGGTATTATTATCCCCATTTTATAGAATAAGAAACTTAGTGAAGAGATTTTTCCATATGGGAAGTTCCATCCATATACATGAACTTTCAGGTCTAGATCAGGCTTCGGTGTTGATGGTCACATGGCTGTTCTGTGGTACAACTGTAACTCAAGCTCCAGTCTTTGAAATGTGTCCCGTGCTCTTTTTTTTTAATGTTTTATTTATTTCTTTTGTTTTCATTCATTTCTAAATATATCCTTCCCTCCCCACCCAATAAAGAAGAATAAAGAGTGAACGCACAGCTCAGCAAAACTAACCAACATATCAACCACGTCTGATAGCGCAGTCAATATTCCACACCCTCATCCTCACCTCTACAAGGAAGGGAGGGCTGTGCATTTTCTCATCTTTTCTCTGGGGCCACGCTGGGTCATAATAATTATATGGTATTCAGTTTCACTTTTTTCTTCTTTGAATTTCCAGCGTTGTAGTTACTGGGCACAATGTTTTTCTAGCGCTGTTTACTTCCCTCTCAGCTCCCGATTTCCCAGGCTTCTTCATATCCATCATTTCTCAGAGCACAGTAATCTTATATTGTACTCATGTTCCACGGTCTGCATAGCCATCCCCTAACAACACTGACTTGGTCATTTGGACTCTGAGATGCTAAAATAGAAAGAGAAGAGCGGGAAAACCCATACTTTTTTTTTTTTTGGTGTGTCTTCATAATCTCAACGTTCAGAATTCTTCATAACCAGAATCCTTCCTACCTCTCCAGTTTTCTTAAACCTTACTCCCCTCCATCTATTCCAAGATCTAATGACACTGGCCTTTTTGCTGTTCTTCAAACAAAACACTGACTCCCCCAGCTGCATTCATTTTCACTGGCTGTCTCCTATACCTGGAACTATCTCCCTACTCACCCTCACCTCCTGGATTCCCTAGTTTTGTTTTGTTTTTTTAAGTTTCAGCTAAAATTCAACCTTCTGTAGGAAGTCTTTCCTCATCCTCCTTAATGCTAGTGCCTCTCCTCTGGAATGATCTATAATGTATCCTGTATATGTCTTGTTTGGACATAGTTGTTTGTGTGTTTTTTTCCTCATTAGATTGTGAGCTCCTTGAGGGCAGGAACTGATTTTGTCTTTTTTTTTGCTTTTTTTTTTTTTTGGTATCCTTAATATATATCACAGTGCTTGGCACGTACCAGGCTCTGAACAAATAAATGCTTGTGGACTTGACTCGATTTGTCTTTCAACTGTTAAACAACCTATGGTTGCTCTAAATTTAATCCCGTGAAGTAGCAGAAGAAATGATATGGTGTTATAGATCAAGGTTGCTTAAAATCTTCCTAGATCTCTTTTGATTTTGAAGTCTCAAGGCTCTAAAGGAGAAGACTTCAATTAAAATGTCAAAAATTGAAAATTCAGTGCTAATTACTTGGGTTGTAATGCCTTCAATTTATGGTCTATTTTATTAATTGCACATAGAATCATAGGTCTAGAGCTGGAAGCTGTCTCAGAGATCATCTTATTTTACAGATGAGGAAACTGAGGACCAGAGAGGTTGCATGACTTACTCAAAGTCACATAGTAAATGGAAGGAATCAAAGTCTACTATAGACACACATGCACATTCACATAGAGAGGTCAGAAAGACAGACAAACAGAGAGACAGACAGAGACAGAGAGATGGGGGGGAGAAACAGAGACGGAGACAGAGGGAGAGAGAGAAAGAGACAGACAGACAGACAGAGATTTGTCATTCAGGACTTGTGTTTTCCTCCGTATAAGGAAGATATAGTGTGGAAAATCCTTCCATCATCATCAATCAGCAACCTAGCTTTAACATAGTTTTATACCTGGAGCAGTGAGAAGTTGTTTGCCTAGGGTCATAAAGTTAGTACATGGGAGAAGAAAAATTTTAACCCAGATCTTCCTGACTCCAAGGCTGTCCCTGTATCCTCTACACCATGCTGGCTGTCATATGTGTGTCTGTGTTTATGCATATATATATGAGGAAGAAAGGGAAAATCATTTTCCAGAAGTCTGTGTTAACACAACACTAACATGGTAAATGCAAGTCAGGAATTGTGAAAGTTCAGTTTGTCATGGCAACATTGACTTGACAACTAGCATATGTGTGATTGCCAGTTCAGCGAAGCCACATACTGTAACAGCATTGCTGCGAAGACGTCTTCCATCTTTACATTTGTTAGCAAAAAGCAGAGAGTGGTGGGAGGAGAAAAGGGAAGGGGAAGAAAAGGAGAATTAAAAGGGGATAAGAAGGGAAAAAAGCAGTAGGGAGAGGAGGGCAAGAATGAAGGATATGGAAGAAAAGGAAAGGGAAATGAAGAAAAAAAGGAAGGATATAAAATGTAAGCTTACATTTTGAGCTAAAATCAGAGTAATGATACTTCCCAGAAGCTTAGCTGTGAACCCTAAACTTAAATGTACTTACACAGGACTCATCCTTCTTTCAGTATCAAACTTACAAAGGCAGGAGGCCAGGAACTGATCAGATGGAATATGTGTCTGGCCAGGCTATATTTTTACCCTGCAAAATTGCAGGGGGAGTTTAGGGCAAAGGAATGTTGCTGTGATATCTTCCAGCCTAACCCCTACAGATAAAGCGAGACCAAAGGAAATAAAGGAATGAGGCAGAACTAGGGCCAGGGGAACTCCTGATTCTGTCTCTGTTTCTGCTTCCCCAGAAATGGTCTGGGCCCTCACACTCTACAAGAAACAGCCCCCTTCAAAGAAATGACTTCAAAAATGACTGCTGGTCCAACAAACCCTGACCAGAGACTCTCTCCATCATGCTTTCGGTAAGCATTCATTAAGCATCTAGTGTATGCAAAGCACCACAGAGAAAGCTGGGGGAGATGCAAAGTTTAGATAAGATACAGTCCTTTTCCTCAAGAAGATTAAAGGTTAGTAGGGACATAAGATGCTAATATAAATACCGATGATAAATGAGTGCATCAGAGAGTTGGAACACAAAGTTCTATAGGTCTTTAGGGAAAGCTCATTATTGTTAGGGAGAATAACAAACAATAATAATAGCTAATATTTATGTAGTCCTTTAAGATTTGCAAATTACTTCTCATTCATTATCATCTTTGATCCTGACAACCCTGGGTGGGAGATGCTATTGTTATCCCCATTTTAGAGAGGAGGGAACAGGCTCAGAAAAGTTTGATGAATTGCCTGGAGTCATAGAGATAGTAGATGTCAGAGTAAAGATTCAAACCCCAAACATCCTGACTCAGACTTCACAGAAGGCTCCAGGAAGGAGGTAGTATTTGAATTGGACTTTATGTGATAAGTAGAAGCCAGGGACAGTGCTACAAGCTATCTACATATGCTTGCTAGAGATGCAAGGACTGATTTCCCCTTATTTGAATGTGGGTTTTACTTTTTGTTTTTACTTAAAAGAATATTAATCTTCATCTTAGTTGTACCAATTTTTGGATATCTTTTTCTCTGTACACATCTCCTGTTGACTTGTTGGGGCCCATTTTATAGCAAGTTAGGTGTAAGAAGATAAAATTTCAGAATGGATGTGCTAGAAGGGAGAGAGTAATCCTCGAGTTACTGGCATTTCTCCTGCTGGGCATCAGCCTCTTTTTTCAAATGTTCCCACAATCTCACCAGTAACATGCTGGACAAGTCAAAGATCCTTGCTTAAGGAACGTTAATTAGTGATCAAGAAATATTTATTGATGTTGGAGAAGATGTGGGAAAATTGGAACACTAAGGCATTGTTGGTGGAATTGTGAAATGATCCAACCATTTTGGAGAGCAATTTGGAACTATGCCCAAAGGACTATAAAAATGTGCTTTGATCCAACAATAGCACTTCTAGGGCTATATCCCAAAGAGATCATACAAACGGGAAAAAGACACACATGTACAAAAATATTCATAGCAGCTCTTTTTGTGGTGGCAAAGAATTGGAAATTGAGAGGATGCCCATCAATTGGGGAATGGTTGAGCAAGTCGTGGTATATGAACGTAATGGAATACTATTGTGCTATAAGAAATGATGAACAGGCTGACTTCAGAAAAACCTGGAAAGACTTGTACGGTCTGATGCTGAGTGAAGTGAACAGAACCAAGAGAATGTTGTGCACAATAACAGCCACGTTGTGTGATGACTAATATTGATAAACTTAATCCTTCACAGCAATACAAGGATCTAAGACATCTCCAAAGGCCTTGTGATGGAAAATGCTATCCACATTCAAAGAAAGAACTATGGAATTTGAATGCAGAT